AAAAAAAAAATATATATATATATATATATATATATAATATGATGTAAAAACAGAAAAATAACAAACACATACATTAAAACAACAATATAACAATCTAAAATTCATGGCATTCATAATCTAGTGATAGTCATCATAAAAAAAACATAAATTCCTAACCAACAAAAGGATTAAATAGCCATCAAAACAAAGATACAATGTTAAAAAATAGCAAAACACAATGACAATTCCTAAAACTATTTTGGAGGAGGAAAAGGAGTGGTCGTGTGCAGAGGAGAGCAGCAATCACGCATGGAGGAGCAGCAGCTGTCACGCGCAAAGGAGCAACGGTCGTGCACGGAGGAAGAAGACGGAGGGAAAAAGTAAGAATCGCGCGTGCAAGGGAGAACCAGAGAAGAAAATCGAGTCAGACACGACGATGGCAGCCACGTCGAAGGCGACGGTGGTGGCCGTGTCAGAGGTGAAGTTGGCGGCCGCATTGGAGGCGACAGTGGCGGAGGGTCTCGTCGGACTCATTGGAGCAGGTGTGTGTACAAAGGGGAGGGCTACACGAATTAGGGTTTCTACAGCAACCCTATTTTGCACAATTAAGCTAATGGGTCGCCCAACCTGATAAAGAAACCCAGGCCCAAACTTGAAAAAAAATAAAATAAAATAAAATAAAGGGCCCATAACGGTGCCATGACCGCCTTGCCGTTACTAGCGTAACGGCCACCATTTGCAAAATGGCGGATCCCCACCATACACAGGCCAAACGGCCATAACGGATCGCAGCAATGGCTACCATATCGTTATGGCACCACCATAACGGCCATTTGAAAACACTGATTTACATAGAATAAAAATGAATCTTTCATACTCCCCCTCAAGCTGGAGCATATGTCACTGGGTGACTGGAGCTTTGAGAGATTTAAAGAATATATTTGCTAGTTGGTGACTTGGGCTGACAAAGGCAGTGGTGATTTCACCCAAGAGCACTTTCTCCCTCACAAAATGAAGATCCATATCTCTATGTTAGGTCTATTCATGGAAGACCAGAATAGATGCAAAGTGAAGAGCAGCTTGGTTGTTGTAAATAAGCTTAGTATCCAAGTGTCTCCAAAATGTAAACATAGGAAAAGTTACCTAAGCAATATAATTTCGCATGCAGCTGCTGCCATGGCATAGTAAACTTTGGCAACTATATTTTTGTTTTTGTTTCTTGCTTCTCCATGAGATCAAATTCCCTCAAATAATTACACAATAGCTAGAGGTGAACCTCCTATATCTAATGGTGATCTTGCCCAATAAACATTTGAGTAAAAGAAAATTTTAGCATTGTATTTGTCTCTATTTGAGACTCCGCAACATGATGCTTTCTTGATATATCTAAGGATGCACATGACAACATCCCAATGGCTATCGCAAGGAGCAATTAGGAATTTAGTAACCACACTTACTACAAACGTGATATTGAGAAAAATAGCTACAACAAAGGCAGATTGAGCAACCTCAATGCCTAAAAAATATTTGAGCGGCCCCCAAGACTTTTGTCTAAAATTAAGGTGAGATTTGAGCTAGCAAATGCCATTAAAATCACTACTAGTGATGATAATGTCAATATGTCAGTGAAGAGAATATTAGAGAATAGAATAATAAACACCTTTATTAAGTGTATTGAAGTTAGTTAACTATCATAGTTAGTTAGAAGTTGGTTATGACTATATATACGCTTGTTGTAATCCTTGTACATATCTTTTTCATTCATCAATAATACAATTTACTGAATTCTCAAAATCTCTCTCTCATATCTCTCTCTTATATGGTATCATCGTGAGCTAGGGTTCGGGAATTGTTTTCTCTCCATTTCTTCGTCTTCGAATTCTCTGTTAGCGCACGACGATTTGTTGTTCTTCGTGCTTGTTTCTATATTGCGCTACGACTGCGATTGCGCTACGACTGCGATTGCTTGCATCGCGTTTGTTCATTGCTTCCGATCGCAAACCTTGGGTGTTTGCATTATTTCCTCTTTTGTGTTTGAAATCGCTTCTCTGACGCTCGTCCGTCGCGTTTGGCTGCTCCACTGTCACTGATTGCGCCATTCTTGTTTGGTCGTGTTGCGCTTGGCTGGTTTTGTTGTTCGCTGTTTTGTTACGATTCGCAAATCTCTGTTGCGATATTTTCTGGTTCGAGGCATCTCTTCTGCATTCTTCGTTGTCTCTGTTCTTTGTTCTTGAAGATTCTTGCGCGTTTGTCTCTGTTTTCTGTTTCGTCTGCTCAATGGCTTCTGCTTCTACTTCGGCTTCGTCAACTGTCTCCCACACTTTTTCTCAAAGTGTAACCTGTAAACTTGATGAGAAAAACTTCATGACCTGGCAGCAACAGGTCACAGCTGTAATTCGGGCTCATGACCTTGAGAGGTTGGTTGTTAATCCGAAAAATCCGATGAAATTCATCACCAGTGAAGATCGTGATGCAAATAATGTCAACCCTGAATACACCACGTGGGATCGCAAGGACTCTCTTTTGTTCTCTTGGCTCTTAACTACACTGTTTGACTCCATTCAAGCACGAGTGGTTTCCTGTCGTCATTTATATCAAGTCTAGGATATGGTGTTTCAGCATTTTCACTCTCTCACCAAAATCAAAGCCACACAGCTCTGACTTGAACTTCGCACCATCAAGAAAGGTACCAGAACTTGTTCTGAGTATCTTCTTCGAATTAGCACTATAGTTGAAATTCTTGCTTCAATTGGAAGCCCTGTCTCCCCCAGAGAGCATGCTGAATGCATTCTTGGAGGTCTTCCAAATGACTATGATTCGTTAATCTCCACGATCACAGCGTTTGTCAGTCGTGATGATGCCCTCTCCCCTGGTGAAATTGAAACTATGATTCTTGCTCAAGAAGCGCGGTTGGAACAAGCCAAAGCATCTGTCATTCAAGAACCTTTGACTATAAATCTGGCTCTGATACCATATAAGAGAGAGAGATATGAGAGAGAGATTTTGAGAATTCAGTAAATTGTATTATTGATGAATGAAAAAGATATGTACAAGGATTTCAACAAGCGTATATATAGTCATAACCAACTTCTAACTAACTATGACAGCTAACTAACTTCAATACACTTAATAAAGGTGTTTATTATTCTATTCTCTAATAGAGAAAAGGTAAAGTGGTCAATCTTGCAACAAGTTATACCAAACTAAAGTAGATGAGGCTAAAACAGCCAAGCCAAGCCTGGGGAGATTGCTTCAAGCCATATAGAGAATAACAAAGGTGACAAACAAGTTGAGAGTCACCTAAAACAGTAAAATTAGGGAGTTGGTCCATGTAAACCTCTTCCTGCAACTCACCATGCATTAACACATTTTTAATATTCAGTCGGTGAAGCCACCAATGGTGAATGGTAGTCATAGCAAGAAACATACGAACGGATGACATCTTGGTCACAAGGGAAAAGGCGGTCCCTATAATTGAGGCCAAAAAGCTAAGTATAGCCCTTAGTCACCAAGCAAGCTTTGAACCTATCAATATTGTCATTCGGTCTAATCTTCATCGTATAAACTCAACAACAATAGTCTTGTCAACAGGCAAGGGAACTAGCTCCCAAGTACTTGCCTATAAAGTAGCCATTTCACCCAACATCACTTGTTGCCATCAGGGATCAACCATGGCTTCACCTATAGACTTAGGAAAAGATAGAGAATTCAAATAGGAGATAAAATGGAAATATGAAGGCGATAATCGGTCACAATGAAGAGTACAAGTATATTAAGGGTTTGATTGTGAGTTGATTGAATACCTTTGTGTAGGGAAATAGGAAGCTCAAGTGCAAGAGTGGTTGGTGGAGGGGCATTTGAATTAGGAGATTGAATGCCTGTGTGTAGGGAAATAGGAAGCTCAAGTGCAAGAGTGGTTGGTGGAGGGGCATTTGAATTAGGAGATGATGTTGAGGGACCAATGGGTGGAACCCTTGAGGAGGATGGGATCATCATTAATAACATCCAAATCAGCGTTGTCAATAATGGACATAAAGAAGAAAAGAGTTGACTCAAAGAAAGTGACATCAACATAGACAAGATATTGTTGTAGTTAAGGGCAAAAACAACGATATACTTTTTGGAGGTGGGTGTAACCTAGAAAAACACATTTAAGAGACTTGCCAAAGTCTATCTTTAGCTGGAGTAAAATCATGGACTAAATAGGTGCAACCAAAGGCACCAAGTGGAACAATGTATAGGTCCTATTGAGGGTACAAAATGGTGTACGAAACTTGATTGTGGAGGATAGACAAGGGCATGAGGTTGATCAAATAACATGTGAAAAGTGCATCACCCCAGAAGTGAAGAGGAACATTATAATGAAGGAGAAGGGTACAAGTTGTTCCAACTATGTGATTGTTTTTCCATTTAGCAACACATTATCAATTCATAAAATCTTGATAAAAGTCCCAACGTAGTTGAATTTTTATGTGAGAAACTGTGAAAAATGGAGAAAACATTAGAATGATTTTTCATTAAGAAAACCCAAGTACATCAGGAAAAATTATCAATAAATGTGACAAAATAGTGATATATGCTAAAGTTGAATAGACTCGTCTAAGACCTCAAATATCAGAGTATACTAAGTTAAATGGTGATAGAACACTTGTATTAACGTAAAACTATAAGCATGACAAACATGTTTTCCTAATTGACATGACTCACACTATAAGGACTTAAGTGTAGAGAGACTAAGAATCAAAGATGCAATTTTTCCAAACTAGGATGATTGGGGCATTGATGGGCAATACATGAGGAGGCAATGAAGACACAAGCAACCAACAATGACAATTGATTCAATCTCCCATATTCATATCTTGTTTCAATTGGCCGTCCCATACGTCGATCCTGAACAAGAACAAAATGATTAAATAATAAGATAGCAAAGTTAAGTGAGCGAGTGATCTTGCTAATGGAAATTAAATTGAAAGGGCAACCAAAAAAAATTAAAACAATTTATAGGAAGGTTAAGAAGTAGGTAGGTTTGGCCAATGCTACAAACTTTAATCTGAGAGTCATTTGCAAGAGTAGGTAACAAACGTCAATGAGTCTAAAGAGACAACTAAGAGAAAAGATATTGGTTACAAGCCATGTGATCAGAGGCACCAGAGTCAAGTATCCGAGGTCTAAGAGAAGGACTAAGAGACAGGCTACAAAACTACCAAACTGAGTCATGCCAATAATAGGCAAGGCAAGTTGTTAGGCTACTCAAAATTGTAGGAAATCATAATACTAAGTGATAGAAATAGTAAATTTGCAGGTGGGGAAGGTGTGGTGAATTGGGTCAAATTAACCAACTTCAATTGTTCCTTGTCTTTGGTGTGACATTCCGCTTCAACGTGGCTATAGCAATTATAATAATTGCAACAAGAATGACCTTTGCTGCCACAACCCCCACCGCATCCACTACAATGAGAAGAGTCTAAGACAAGGGTAAAGGAATCAATAGAAGAATTGGAGGGATTCCCAAAAGCATGTATAGCGGAGAGACAAAATAGTTGTTCATTTATCATGTCAAACATAGCAACAGTAGGGCTTCATAGTATGCAATAACGTACCAAGTCAAGGTCAAGTGGGAGACTAGCAAGAGCAAAAACCATGAAGAATTGGCTACGTAGCTAGTAAAAAATCTAACTTCGTAGAAAAGCCAAGGTCGAAAGAAGATCTAGTGGAGGCCATGGAAAAAGAGCCAAACGGGGCCCATTAGTGGTCCCTGGAGGTAGAGGAGTGTCAAGGAAGGGTGGGCAAGTGAGTGGGGCCAAAAAAGGCTCACACTATTTTGGCGCACACACATATGATTGACATGCCAAAAAAAGGTGGCACTAGTCAGCAACAGGTCAGACAGCATGGTGGTCACCAAAGGAAGGTGCTCCTAATCACATGGTCGTGTTAGAGAAAGATGGCTCGACAACAACCAAAGGAGATTTGTAGTGCACGAATACTGTTCACCCTTGAGAAATCACGCACCCTAAGGCAAAAAAAGAATAAGCATAGTAACCCAAATCATTGACACCCAATAGGACTATAGGAATTCTATCATGCACTAATTTTATTTTTATTCATTCATAGGAAGAGATAATTAAGGATACAATGATAGAAACCCCTAAACTTTAGCTATACAATATTTTCCAAGTTACCCTATTTACATAAAATCAAAACAAATCTTTCATGATAACTATAGGCTAAAATATAAAGGATTTAAGGTCAATATTTGGTCTTTAGAAACTATTTACATTAAAACACTTATCCATGTTATTGAATGCACAACAACCCCTCCATTTTTACAGCTCTCTTCAATCAATGTCCATGGATTATATCACTTTATTCATACTAAGCATGCCTCGAGGCTGAATTTGGTCCCCTAAAGGTTTGTTTGAGAATTAGATTTTGGAGAAGAAACAGGAAGGTAAATTTTTTACATTTAATAAATATAACTAAATAGTATTTTAGCATGTACAATTTACAAGATATATATTCATTTTATATTATATATTATATATAAAAATAAATATTATATTTAATAATATAAGTTATATTATATTTAAAATTTATACAAATAAATATTTTTTGAATATATAAATTATATTTTAGATTTATGAAAAATAATTTATATTATGATACAAGAATAACTTTAATTTTAATTATTGATAATTTAATTTAAAAAAAATATCGAAGTTTAATTTTGAAAAATATGAAAAATTCGTATGGAAATAGATAAGACATTAAAATCCCTAAAAAACCTATCATTGAATAAAAGTCCCTAAATGCACTCTCGTCTCGTGTCATTTATATATATAGTATTTTTTTAAAAAATATTGAAATTCAATTTAAATCTAGAAATAAAAATATAAATTTTTTGGAAGAGATGAATGGTTGAGAAAAACCCATAAAAATACCCTCGTTGAATAAAATTAGTTAAAAAAGCTCTAATTGAAGAATAGTCCCTTCAAGCACTCTCGTTCAAGATAACTATTCTAATTTATATAAAAAGAGATTTAATATTTTTTTTTAAATGAAAATAAGAATGATTGATAAGCTTAAACTTAATGTTTTGATCTTTCTTTATTTTTATAAACATTATATAACTCCTCTAATTTTATAAAAAAAATAAAAAGAAATCATCTCCCTTTCCCTCCAAAACCCAACTAACATACATATCCCAAGTATTGCTGGAATATAAAAAGAAAACAAGTTAAAAGTAATTTGTTAACTACTATAGAATGGGAATGGTAAACTCCATTGACTATGGCTATTCCATCAAGGATTGTTTCAGTTGCCAATATACCTCACCCTCAAAGGTAACCTATACGACCTACTATTCCTTATTTTGTTCCATTCAATGTTAATCCCACTTCTCTCGGTCACAACCAGGTATGACTTAAGAATTCAAATTTTCTCACCATTACATGTGTGTTTGGATAAAAGTTGAGTTCAACTCAACCCACTTTTATTTCAAAGCAATAGCCTTATTGCTTTTGGATTTCATGCATTGGAAAGTGAAAACACACATTCCCATGCTTTCAAACGGTAATCCAAACACACCCTACATAATATTTTTATATAGTAAAATTTGGTTTTTCTTTATGATAACTATCCCTTGAAAATCATCTACAATTAATCCTGCAGAAGTTAAACCTAGAAAAGGAAAAAAAGAAAAGAAAAAAAAATCATCATCATATAATCGATGCTAACTAATTTAAATAGTTTCCATACATGAAACAAAATGTTTGCTTCAGTCAAGCGATTGTAACAGGCAAAAAAGATTGAGTCCCTCTAGCAATCCTCTTACCTTGAGCCAATGTATTTTCAACATCTTCCACAACTTTAACCACATCACGCAAAGCAGCATTGCAATTGTTTAAGGCAACTTCCTCATTAAGATGGTCATCAAGAACAGGCTGAAATGCTGTTAGTATTTTCTCTGGCAAACACCCAACTGCCAGTTTCTGCAATGGAGATGACCAAGAAATAGACAACCTTAAAATCTCTATACATATATATATATATAAACATCTAATAGGCAACAGATCAAACTTCAGACAGTGTTACTGCAACTTGCTTACTATTCTCACTGAGTGGGCATCCCTTTTCACTATCTTGATAGAATTCAAACTCTTTCCATTGCTTGCAGATGGAAGGGGATTCTTGCCCATTATTTCATCCTTAAGACCCTGACCTCGTGAACCAAAAACCTTCCTATCCTCCCATATTTCAACCTATTAACAATCCATCCCAACACACCAACCCCAAAATAGATTCCACCCAGAAGGAAAGAAAAAGAATGAAAGGTCAGGTTAGAAAAATACTAATTGATAAGACAACTGCCAAGATAAAAAAGCTCAGAATAAAGTATAGTAACTTATGGTTGCAAAAATGGACCTCTCCAAAAACAACCAAGCAATCAACCCTTATCCCACTAACCAGGGTTCACTACAAATTACATAAGTGGATTCTCTAATACATCATTTTTCTCTGGAGTAGAATATAAAGATGGCATTTTTCTCTGCAGTCAAATTGTTTCTAAGTAAGATTAAGAATATACACACACAAGACTAGACCCCTGACATGACTGAACAAGACACTTCTTTTGCTAGTATTGAACTCTGGGTTACTATGTATTAAAACCTAGGAAGAACAGATCCAATATGCAATATAGATACAATATGGCAGGACACAGACTCGGTAATACAGAAAATTTTAAACATGGCTATAATATATCATATAATTTTAAATGACAAAAGAATTCATGTTTTAGAAATGAAAATAATCCATTATAAATATAATAAAAAACAAAAATGAGTCTAATTATTGTGGTATAATTATTGTGGTATTCTAATCAGTGTTGGCATGAAAGTTTAAAAAAAATAAAAGTATAAAATTAGAAAAATGCAATCAAAAGTATTTGAAATGTACATGGATTCATGTCTGACATGGTTACAACACGATACAGCCACCATCTAGAAGTGTCTAAGCTTCTTACAAGGCAAAAATGTGGTATTTTTCAAATTTGTTAGAGGATTTCTTCTGCAATCTGCATTAATTGAGATAAATGGTTTATGTCATAAAGTGTTAAGTATAGTCATAATCTGATTGGTTAGTGTTGAAATTTCTTAGATATTTGCTATGTTTTATCTTTCATTTATTTCCCTTGTTATTTGATTTGATTATCTGTGTATATTTAGATTAGGAAACCTTGCTGGAATTTTGTAATCCTGTCAAAAAATCATGGGGATTCAGTTGTAAAGATTTGTATTACAAATCAAGGAGCTGAGAGACACTCTCACAAGCTGCTTTTTCACCATATTCTCATCCTGAAGAGTTGGGATGCCAACATAGCAAAGAATGTCACTCATGCCAGTCCTACGAAATTTAACAAGGATATTCTTCTTTCATGCCATTGTTTCTTTGAAACTAAATGATAACTCAAAAATTAGATTTTAGGAAGACACTAAGGTGGGAAATGTTCCTTTCTCTTAAGCCTTTCTCCACCTATTCCAGCTTTCTACTGTGCATAATTCTCTCATCCAAAATTTCTTCGTAGTTTCACAATTCTAGATGTTCTTGGATTTTCCATTTTTTTTTCAAAAATTTTAACCAAAGAAAGAAACTAGTGAACTTCTACCCCTCTTGGATCTATTTGATAGTGCTCTCTTTTCTCCTAATCATGACACAAGAATCTGGAGCCCAGACTATTCTGATATTTTTTCATGCAAATCTTATTTTTAATTCCTCACTCATTGTCCTACAGGGAAATGTTTTCTATTTAAGGGCCAGTTTGGAAATCAAAACTGCTCCTAAGGTCAGTCAAGTCAGTCAATTCTGTTGTTTGGACAGTTGTACCAAATAGGATTAACACTTATGACATGTTGCAAATCCAATGGCCCCATACAGCTCTCTCTCCTGACGTGCAAGTTATGTGCAATTTTGAGTTACAATTTGCCTCATTATTTCTCCATTGTTAAGCAGTGACCTAGCTTAGTAAAAAGCTTTTTGGTATTTTTGGTGGTGAGAATTACGTTTGTCCTAGTTCATTGGATCAATTTCTTCATTTACACTAAGGGTTTGGTAATAATAAGGAAAAAAAAATAGACCTTGTGACAATGCATGGCATACAGGACTTGGGGTTTGTGTTGTTTAAAGTTTGGGATATATTTACTTGGTTTATTGTTTGGCAATAAGAAGGTAAACAAAACCTTGTGGCAGTGTGTAGTTTATGGGATTTTGTAGTTTATGTTTATGTTTGAAAAGGAATGCTCGCATCTTCCATGGCTTCTCTCTCTGTCTTTAAATTTGAATAGATTTGTTTACTATATGGCTTCATTTTGGTGTTAAGCACATGATTTATTCAGGAGATCAGTATTCCAAATATTCAGAGACTGAACAACTCTTTCACACAGATTTAAGATCTTTGTTTCTGCATATTAGTTTTGACTTTCTTTTTCTGGTTTGAGGATGCTTTTTCCTCCATCTTTTCTACTATTTTTTTCTAAAACAACAATTGAACTCTTTCTCACTAGGTAGCTACAAGGGTCAAGTGATGTCAAAATGTTCTGATGAATATTGTCTATAGAGAAACCATACTTCTAAATCATGTCTATTTTTAAAACACATCTAACTCAATCTGAAAAACTAGCTCATGGAGTAAGGTTGCCCCCTACTTATATACATTACTTTGCTTATATCACTAGTAAATGTGAGATCTCCAACACACCTTCTCACAACAAGACTAGACATCTCAAGCTTGAAGTTTGTAGGACTTGGCAATTGTAGATGATCTGATAACGGATGACCCAATAAGCCCAAGAACAACTACTATGGTAGGTTCTGATACCATCCAAGAATTTTTGGATTTAGGTCCAAGTGTCTAACTCAATCCCAAAAGCTAACTCATAGGGTGGAGGTTGTTATCCCCTACTTATATACATTATTTTGGCCACTACATTAGTTAATATGGGATCTCCAACACTTTCTTAATTGTTTTGCTTACAGTTTTTCTTGGTCTGCCTATATCCTAGCTATTAAGCTACCCTCTATATGATCTATTTTCCTTATTGGGTATATCTTCAGGTCTTCTCTACATATACCAAAACCACCCAAGGCAAGATTCTACCATCTTTTCTATAACTACCATAACTTTTGTCTAATTTATTCATTCTTAATTCTATCTTGTCTAATATGTCTACACATCCAACACAATAACCTTATATCTGCTGCATCAATTCATTCTCCTGTTAGTTTTTACTGCCCATCATTCAATTCCTTACAATATTGCAGATCCTGAAACTTTGTAATATAGTTTTCCTTTAAATTTGAGCGGTAACTTTTAATCACAAAGATTGCCTAATGCATGCTTTTGGCAGCCAATATAGTTCTAGTTAGAAACAACACAGGAAATAAATAGGAAGTTAGAGATATGGACATGATCTTTAGAAGATCATGGCTTTTGCTTAAGTACAAGTAGGATGGAACATACGGAATGTTAGTTTAGCAATAGGCAACCCTAGCGATAAAACAAGGAGAAGAAAATTTTAAATTAAAAAAAAATACTCTACTATTCTAATTACATGTTTAGGATAAATATGAATAATAAAACATAACCAGTCAATAGGGACATTGAAATATGAGGATAATGAAAAGCTATAGGGATCAAAGGGGCTACTTCAACAAGATAGTCATAGGGATTATAAGGATCCAGTGCTTAGGTCTTGAGAGTTGAGAGTACCAAGACAGAATTAGCAATATGTAAGTTATACTTTTAAATTACACCGACATTTATTTACAAAATAAACATGTAAAATAGTTTGACCCCAGTTGTAATCAAAACCTTGAACCATAACCTTTCCAGATAAAGGACTGGTCTGGTTTTCAAAACATCCAATGGAATACATGTTCCAAAATTACATAGAATAAGATAGTGGACATGCCAACCTACACATAAATCAAGGGGTAACTCACGAGTCACGACACATTCACAGTTCATACCAGTGGTGTTCGATAACATTGATAACATCAACAACAATAACAGATAATTTCCAACATAAATGAAATTCTAGGAAAAGATTTCCACACCTAGAAGAATAAGACTGCTGCTTGACATATGATGCAGGAGAAATCTACACCAATAACAACATTGCATAAAAAAACTACCGCACAATATAAAGAAGTAGATACTTTAACCTGGAAATGTTTAACTTTCTGAGCCATATCCATTCAGTTCTGTGTACTCATTCTAATAAAGGGGAAATGTCCAGAAAAAGAGAAAGGGACAAGAAAGATATGACCCAAGCCACGCACCCACAACTCTGTGCTATTACAATATAAGCATAGTATGAAGATTGAAGACAACAATTATACACTGATTGCAATACAATTAATTCACAGAATTTGTAAACAATGAAAATGAAACTTACTAGTCTGTTCACTACTTTCCTTCCATGTTCATCACCACTTTCATAAACATGCCTGAGAGCAACTGGAAGAACTTTCCAGAATTCATTGACAAACTCACTACCCTTTCGCCTACTATTTTGCAAGATGTCATTAGCCAAGTATAGAAAAGAGATACCCTGCTCTTTCTGGGAAGCATTGAACAATTTATCCCAAGTTTCAACTATTTCTTTTGCTCTCTTCCGGTGAGAAATACACCAATGGGACAGTGCTGAATGATTGTTTAAGAAATACATATAGCAACACCAATCTCACTAATAGAAAAACAAAAGGAAGAAGGGGGAATAATGTGAAGGAAATAAGATTGAAATCACAATCAAATCTAACCAACTGAATTTATTATATACTTTAAATCCAAAATCAGTATTTAAACAATATTACCTTTATAAAATTATTTAGCAAATGAAGAAAATTGAGCAAAATGCTATTAATATTTGCCAACAGTATAAAATACAGCTAGCTTATTGATAATTCTGGTACAGACAAGTAGCAACATACATCTAAAACAATTCTTAAACAAGTTGTGTTGCTAATCATTCTCTATATGTTCACTGTCTCTAAAGGTGGGGGTTCTCTTAGGGATTTGCAAAGGAACAAGACAGATCATTTTTTACAAATGATCTTCTGTTAGTTTCCTTTGTTTTATTGCTTTAGTTGGTTTATGGCATTCACTGTCCTGCTTCATACTCCTCTTCCTCTGAATAAAAACTTTTCATAACCATCAAGAACATATTGAAACTTGAATTTTATTGTTATTGAAAATTAGAAAGATTGAGTGATAAAAATGAAGTAGTGAGCCAACAGGTCAAAAGTCCCCCACCCCCAAAAAAAAGAAGAAAAAAAAAAAGAGAACTTTTGAATTTCTTTGCATAACAGTGTTAGCAAGTCCCTCAAAACACCCACAAGCAAAGCTTGTGTCTTGAGTAATAAATAGAAGCCAAAAAGATATTTATATACCACATTAATGAATAAAAAGGAATGGCAAAGACACTTCTTCAAAAATAATTTACTCCCAGCCAAATTCACCATATAACTGCATAAACAGCAAACTACTATAAAATTTTCATAAACATGATACCAGGAATAATTCCAATGCAAAAAGGACACACCGCATTTTCACCCCCTAACAGTTTATTCCATAAGAATTTAATGAAAGATAAGTGTCTTATAGTGTTATGAAGAACATCCTTTACATGTTTAGCCTGAGGACGATTTCAGCAACCTGAAAAAGTATGAATATAACCTTGAGAATTTTTTCATCCAGTCTCCCCCTACCCTTTACTTCAGGTTCAGTTGACAAATACTGCCATTGTCTCTAGTGGCTAATTTTTTTCTTCATTACATTGCTTCTTTAGTCTTTACTTCTTTGCTTCTTGTTATTTCAGTATAGATTTTCCTGCTTCATACTTAATAAGGGTTAAATATGTCAGAGGTGCAAAAGACTAATATTCACCTGTTTTATTTCAAGTGAAATGAACAGTACCATCATATATAGAAAATCTTCACCAAAAATTATCACAGAAAGGCTTCTTGTCAAAAGCCTTAATAAAGAAATTTCAATAGCTGCTACAATGTTCCTTCACCTATGAACACAGGCAGGGATGCTTAAACAACTGAATAATATAAGATGTTACAGTCCCTCCTATGATCTGATCAGAGTCAGAGAGAGTAAAGACCCACAACAACAGCTTCCCAACAATAAATTCAAAATCAATCATTTAGGTAATATTTCTCATGTTACTTCTGTAAACAAGTAAAGACAAGGGTAATTGGGCATTTTTTACATAATAAATTCATGACATAGTAAGAGCTAAAAATATATTAGGTACTGCAAGTCAAAACTGTAGCATAGTAACATCACATCCATGGTCTGCCAAAAACTTCAACATATGTTATTCATTGAAATGAAATGTTAACTCTACAAAGGCAACAATTCAACTCAAGCAGTAAATCAAGAAAACTGATATTACATCGACATGATATAAGTCCCATTTCTTTACATCTATTTTTCTAAATCCATAGAAGCCACAGTGCAGTGCCGTTTTAATTGAATATCATAAAATGAAAATATCATGCCACAGATTTTTTTTTTACATAAATGGTCTATTGGTACTATTCGCAACCCGACAGTGCAGAAAAACAAAAGAGGGATTAGTGATGGATACATTCAATGCTTTGTTGTGAATTGTTGAGTTTCAACAACTTCTCTGCTAATATTTGTCCATCAAATATGTTGTTGCTCATACTGCCTTTTGACAAGTTTCACATATCCTAGAGATTTTCCTACAATTTACATGAAGGGATATCAATTAAAGATGGGACTTGATGTATAGATTGAAACAAAAATGCATAATCAAAATCATATAAATCAATCATGAAGGAAAGCCAATCATCTTCATACATTTATCCATCCATTTCATAGGGGTTTTCATTCATTTTAAAATAAATATAAATATAAATATTACACAAAAAGGAGAGAAAGTAGAGCTACTAGAGGATGGGATATTTTGGACAGAAATAATAATATGAAGAAGAAGAAGAAGAAGAAATACAACAAAGTTTCTCAATCCAATGTATAAATTAAATGGCAACTCCCTTGAAACTCTCATTAGCATAGTACACCAAAGAATGACAATTAAAACAATACTACCCTGTACAAATTGAGAACAAGATGGGAAAAGAGACACAATTTAAGATGCTAACCCAAGTTGCATGTATACGGGTACCTGATAGATACCCATTAGATATTTAGTTAGTAAGAGAGTAATGTGTCAGTGTGTAATAACTGTATATCAAAAGGACAACTGCTGTAACAATAAGCCAGCTTAATGGAACTATAAATACAACTGTTCTGATTGCTCTGTTAACTGTTGATAGGGACTAGGGCCTAATGGAACTATAAATACTAGCCCTTCATCATTGTAAGACTTGACTTTCATTTTTTCAGACTTGAATTGACCCCCCAGGCTGCCTCACAGGAAGTTGCAGAACATCTCTTCCTTGTCAAAAGATGCAGAACACCTCTGCCTCGCCAAATACTAAAGAAATTTGACACATCCAAGGAAAAGCGAGCATTAAACTCGCTATTTTACATGAAAATGGCAGCACAACAGCCAGGTGCACCACAACGGTTCTCTAAGGAGCGGCAAGATACCACTCCACTACCCCCACAATTGTGGTCCTATCACCCACGATTGGTAACTATGCTTCATGGCCTTTAACAGTTAACACAGGATCATGGCATTTAACAGTTAACACAGCTCAAAGCCAAGGATTAGCAGTTACCACCAGGAACTCTAAAATACATAAGAGGGTGAGGCCATTACAAAATCTGGCACAGAGCTAAAGATGTGAACTAATGAACAAGGGAAAGGATATTCACAAATTTAGTACAAAATTGTTGACTCTTCCAGAAATAACATTTTGTCACCAACATACTGCAAAAGTAAAATGCGGCAACCTCCTCGAATCTCACTCTCACGCCCCTAGTAAAGCCCAATCAACTACAAACCATCCAACTAAGCACATCCACAACTAAAGGGGAAAGAAGCAATAAATTATCACCATTTCTAAATTTAATAAAGCAACTGAGACTCGCAAATGATAGAAACACCAGTTCTTTACTTATAGCGCTTGGAATCAAAAGACAATGCAAAAACTTGATTTGGCATGCGAATACATCACATACAACATAATATTGACCAAATAGAAACCCACATTTTCCCAAAGCGGAGGCAATAACACTCGTTTGGGTCTGAACCTTATTATAGTGTCAATATCCGAATTTCGGAGTTAAAAACAAAGGGAAAGTTTGGCCAAAATCAAAAAACGTGAAACTTAATGGAAGAAAAACGCAAATACGCAGGAAATTTGGTTTGCGAACTCGTAACCTAATAGGCAATAAATAATAAATAAATAAAGCGGAGCGAAGCACGATGAAGAGTGAAAAGGGAAGTTTCTCGATGCATCGATAGATCTAAAAGACTTACGAGATGAGGGGAAGGCAGAAGGTGAAGCACCGCCGTTCACGGCCGCCGCCGCCGCCGATAGAGGAGCGTCGGTCTGACGTTGGGATTTTATTTATCTTTTGGATTTTTATTTTATCCCGAGTTTATTGCTGTTGCAGTGTTTGACAGTAGCATTTACCAATGACAGCAAATTGGATATCAGGTTTTGGTTTCACGTGTTTTTTTCTCGATCTTATCATTATTTTTTCTTATCAACGACTTTTTTTTTTGTTTGTTTAAATGATTTTTAAATATGAATGAAAAGAAAAATAAAATACAAGTATAAAATATTGAATTAATCACGTATACAATATCAATATAAAAAATTTTACATTAATAATCAATCATATTTTTTAGTAGTGTCATGTCATTTGTTTATTTAATTAAATAAAAATAAAATAATAGTGTGTTTGCATTCGCGTTGTCACGTAAATTTTCACGTTTACCTTGAAACAAAAAATATTAACTTGCACGTAAAATTCACATTTGACGTGGAGAGAGAATATAGGATCCACGTTTTTAAATCTAATCCAAACATGCACTAAAATAATTTAAAAGATATGATTGGTTGTTAGTGTAAAAAAACTTTACACTGACAATATATAAGTGATTAACACTAAAATGTTATACATAGCAAGTGCAAAAGATTGTAGATTTAGTTGTATTTTAGCATAAGCAGGTTTGGTTAAGTTAAATAAATATCTAATTCTATCAAAATATAATGGAATAGGTTTGATTTAAATTTTATATATTTTTAACTTAATTTAATCTGATTTCAAATAGATTAGATTTATTAAATTAATTGTATTAACATAATTAAATTTATTTTTTTTATAATAATTTAAATATTTTATAATAAATATAAATCATTTGATACTTGTTATAAATATAATATTATCAACTTATAAAGCAAACAATAATATAAATTAAATTTTAAAATAAATTTGTTGATTTGTTATATTATTATCGATTTAAACAATCAACGTTACTACAAAATAAAATTTAAAAATAAATGTGTTTTCTTACAATGTTATTGAAAAAAATATATATAATTTGTTATTAAATAAGAGTAACAATGAATATTATCCTAAATAAGTAAGTTTTTAAACATTAACTTATTATTATTATGACTGAATTAAATCATGATCAAAAATACAAAAATCATTACCTAACCGGTACAATACTAAGTTTTGGTTGGATTTTATTTGAACACTAAAAAAACTTGATTCAAACTTACATTGAAAACATTTACATAAGTAAAAAATGTTACATGTATTTCTTTTTTTATTGTTCAGACCATTTACATTGAAAGAGATACATGGATTATAACATGTCAAACTCTAAAAAGAAAGAAAAACAAATGTTACATGAACACATTGGTTTAGGTGAATCTTGTGCTCCCTTAGTAAATCAAAGATGATTATTAGTATCTCTTTGTAATTTACATAAGTTTGTCCGATAACTATTTGAATAGATGGTTTTCTTTTTCAAGCAATGTTTATAGTGTCACCCTTTCTACCCCACTATGTAAAACAACATTGAAGAGTGAATGGGAGCCAATGAATGAATGAGACAATTTTTTTTTCTCTTTTACAAGACATAATACATTGTTATTGCTTAAACTATCTTGACCATTTTTATTTTATTTTTAAAATAGTGTCACATCACTTTCTTAAAAATTATTGTAAAAAGTCATGTAATTAAATTTATCCATGTTAGATAAGCCACAACAACAATCCATGAGTAATTTGACAAATAACTAATTAAAGGTCACAAATCTCAAAATTTGGGAGTTTAATTCGCAGGAAAAATTATTTGGAGAGGAAATTTGCAATAAAGGAAAAATTTGGAGACACAAAAGACAAGTAAGCCTATATTATTTTTTTAATGTTAAAATATACATTTGATCTTTATATGAGCAATTTCAATGTCATGTATCATGAAATTTCAATTTGATTCTTAAATTATAAATTAAATTATATAGGAGTAAATGTTTTCTAAATACTCTTTCAAACAAATAATATACAACATGTATGTTTATAACACAAAATAATAACATGGGGTACAAAATGTGTGTATTTGAAGAAAAAACTTTCTGAGTTATATTCTTTTATCTTGATTAAATTTGCAAAAAATAAATCACATACGACTCTTTTGTATTTATTTGTTAGGTTTTTATAATGTTATGTTGACAAATTTTTTAATAAAGTTGTGTGGATCTAAAATGTTCATAGATTAATTTGAGCATACTCCAAATATAACTTTAATTAGGTTGTACTAACAATAGTTATTCCTCTTGCATTATTGAGCTATAATGAAAATGCGTTTAGCATTTATAGAGATATTTGAATGCTCAAGTCATTAAAGTGATGCCACCTAAAAATTGCATTTTTTTTACAAAGATAATAATAAAAATTAAATCTAAGTCTTCATATATTTATCCTACTCTTTCACCATTTGATCAACATTAATGAAACACATTTAATGATTGTATACCTAATATTGTTGATGTTATTTATATTTTGGATGAACATATATTTTCATATATGCATCATAAATTCTCAAATATTATTATTCTCATTGATATTATTATTTTTGTTGGTTTCTCACTTGAATATTGAAGTTTCTCTTATTGATAAATGATACTTATTATTGCACACTATTGTAAAAGTTTACATAATTGGTATTCACAGTACCATTTACTTACTTTAGAGACCTCTCACTTTATTTAATTTAAACTTTTGAAGGAAAAATATAAAAAAGAAATATCAAATAATAGATTAAGTAGGTTTCAAACCTAAAAGTTAGTAAGTCAACTTTGTACAATTGACTTACCAAGTCTGACCAAATTGACAATTTTTTTCAAGTAACTTGATTTTAAAATTGGGGTTGTCAGACTTTCAAACTAACCTATTAAAAAAGACCACTCTTATACCTTTAAATTCTAGTCTTTTATAAAAATAATTCAATTTTCAAATACTTCAATTTAGTTTGGTTAAAAACAATTTGGTTTGATCTTTTTTACAAATAACTAGCTCAATGTTTTTTTTTACAAATAACTAGCTTGATATTAAGAGGATAGTTATTATTTTTAAAAAGTAATTATTATTTTGTATATATATTATTTTCTTATTTTATTAAAGGTAAAAAAATCTAGAATATAAATATAGTAATATAATTGTCTTTGAAAAATAGAACCAAAAAGAGATATTCCCTTTACATATTATTGGCAAGGTCGAGACATGTTATGTCTCTATTTATAATTTATTTAAGTTAAATTGAGAAATAGTTATAATTTTAGTTATAAAAAATATTTTTTTTTAGTTTCATTAAGATAAAAACATATTATCTGTTAGTAAATGAAAGAGTTGTTAAGTAATTTAATATTAATTAGTTATCAAATTAATATAATAAATAAAAAATACTCATTGTACTTTACTAATAAAAAAGAAAATATAAAATAATGTGATAAAAAATATTAAAAGAACATAATAAAATATTTACAATAATTATGATATTAGTTTTTCTAATTGGGACACACTTTAACAATTATTCAAATCTACTATCCAATACATCTTTTAGTATATTTATTATGAGAGAGTACACAATAATAAATAACATTAACTCTTATTTTTAAAATTAATTTGATGTCACTTTTAACCTTATCCTTTCATTTCCTTTTTTACTCCCAATCAAAACAATAATAAAACATATTTAACAAAAAAAACAAAAAAAAAAACCTTCTGATACGTATAGTTTTCGTTAATTTGATAATTTTATATTATTTTTAATATGTATATATCTTAGCCAGAAAAACAACCTTCACATATATAATTTTTGTTAATTTCATATTATTTTTAATACTTATATAGTTCTGTTTTTAATATGCATAAAATTCGAATATAAGAAATGTGGACAAATTTGCATTTTACTAGAATCTGTTGTATAAGTTTTTTTTTTTTTTTTGTTGAAACTAAAGAATCATAGACAATTGCAAATTTGTTATTTCAAATTATCTGAAATAGTTTATTACCTTATTTCTATTCTTACTTGTCTTAACATTGTTCATATTGGAAATGAATACTTAGCCAAAAATGCAACCTTCACATATATAGTTTTCGTTATGCCACTAGCAGTTACACAAACATAAACAAAAATTGATGTGTGTGTACAGTGCGATGACTAATATTATGTTTAATTGGCTATTTTTGTATTGAACATCATCAAATAGAAACAAAAATTAAACAATAGTATAATTTGAAACCAATAATAGACACAAGTATAATACTAGAAAATGAAGAACATACCACATTATATTATAACACCAGTATGATTTGAAACATATCTCACAGTGACAGTAACAGAAAAAACCAGCAGCAACAAAAACATAATAGAGTTAAAAAAACATAAAATTATGTTTAATACTTTAAGTGAAATATTGGATTTAATGCTTCATTTCCCGTTCCTCCTTCAAAGTTAGAAACTCCTTCCACATTCTCCTTATCACGACAAGTAGTGAAGTTATAACTAGGTTGTTTGCATGATCAACATTTCTTCACCTATTTGTTGATGCCTATTTCTTTTCCACCCCTTAAATGTTTTTGCTTTGGACACCTTTTAGTCTTTGACTTTGGAGGACATTGTAAAAGATTAATCATGTCTATTTTATTGTTATATTCACCTTATTCCTCATCTATAAGCAATGACCCTTCATCGAGCAACACTTTGCGACACTAACATAATGGGAAATATCTAAGAGAAATTTCAAAGACATGTCCATGGATGAACACACTCAAAATGTGACAACAAAGAATACCTCAAAATTCAAAATGCTTACATGACAACTTGCTACTTGCTTATCCCAATGAACTTTATGCTTTTGAGTCTCACCTTCCTTATAATATTGCACTATAAAATCATTGGTTCCATCAAGAAACAACAAATATTGAGTAGCTCTACTAAATTCTTTTTGAAATTTTTTGAATGCAAAAGGAGTCAACACTATTGAGCTTGATGTTCCAATGGAGATAAAGTTCGCAGTGAAGATCCTCTAAAATTATCCAACATGGTCGCATGAAGTTGCTTATGTTCAATATCTTCAATGGGGAGATCAACTTACATACAACAATATAAAAATAAATAAAGCACCTATAATATAAAAAATTAAAAAATCAACTCAAGTATAAATATAAAAGTAAAGAAATCATATTTACTTGTCTAATAATCAACTCAAGCAAACATGAGAATTTCTAAATTGTTTCACAAAAGTATTGATACTTTCAGATCTCCCTATTGTTGTCATTTCGGCAAAAAAGTAATCATGGAGATACGCGGGAACCCAATAGCGCCTTATTCCATAAAGGCCTAAGACATGTTTATTATTTTGCATGTTAAATTTTTCAATCACTTGAGGCCATTGATTTTCAAACTCTTCTTGAGTGTCAACCTTATATAATTGATAAAAGCTAGCACACAATTGCGAATATTGCTTACAAAGGAGTGCAGTGAACCAACCACTAAATTTGGAGGTGATGTGCCACATACAAAATGCATGCTTAGTCAAAGGCATTTCTTGTGCAATATAGCTCTTGTCATCCATGGATCTTGGTCAGTCAAAATTGTCTTAGGTGATTTCTTCATTCAGGAGACAAAAGTATAGAAAAAGAAAAGAAAATTATGTTTACTAGTACATTAAAATTATAATTATATTTCAGTTGGATAATTAAAAAATAACATACCAAAGGCATGAATACCTTCATTAGCCATGAAAAGGCATTGGTAGTCTCATTACGAAGAAGAGCACATCCAAATAATATAGTCCTTCCTTGATTGTCAATTCCAACAAAATTTCCAAAGGGCTTATCATATGCATTGATCTTGTATGTGGTATCAAAGGCCACATCTCCAAATTTTTGGTACCAATCAAAACAATGAGTTGGTGACCAAAAAATATGCTCTAATTTTCTGTCTCTATCAAATTTATAAGAGTATTGAAAGTTACAATTCTCTTCCTTTTCCACTTGATAATAGTGCAACAAATCATTAGCATCATTCTTTCTTTCAGATGAGATATAAATAAGTCTCACATCAATAAAATAAAACAAGAAATAATAATTTACATAACACAAAACATACTTTAATGATAGGCCTTTTGGGTAATAATCAAAAGCAAAATCGTGAGGGTTTATGCCTAAAGCGGACAATATCTTATCATTGTGGAGTATGTTTGTGTAATAACCTTATAAAATAACGCTCATAAAATATTCTCTCAGACAAATACTATAAAATAACCCCAACAGTGGTACCAGAGCCGCTTGGTTGGATGCAGTAACAACCCTCGTAACCTTTCATAACTCATAACATAAAGACAGATTTCGTTGCATGAAAGGTTAGGTTCCTTGTTTGAGGGGAGGATTCTTGGAATACAAGTAAGTCTCACATCGATAAAATAAGACAAGAAATAATAACTTATATAACACAAAACATACTTCAATGATAGAGAGGTCTTTTAGGTAATGATTAAAAATAAAATCGTGAGGACTTAGGTCTAAAGCGGATAATATCTCATCATTATGGAGTATGTTTGTGTAATAAACTTATAAAAATAATCCTAATAAAATATCTCCTCAGACAAATATCATAAAATAACCTCAACACCTTTAATATTATGGATCTTAGTGAACAAATTATAAACATCCTTTGGGATAAAAGAAAGATATCCATGTTTCACATTTTTTTCCGACTCCATTACACGCATAATTTGTGGCACACGAAGACCTGCATCTTTCAACAAAAGAATACGATTTTCATATTCTTTAGTAATGGTGCAGTGAGATAGTAGAAAGTACGCCTCTTCTTCAGAAAGCAACTCATGATTATGTTCAGCAATAAACTCAACAAGATGCGACTCATTTGGAAATATATCAACATATTTTTTAAGTTTAGTTCGCATGTGAGCCTTGTAGTCACAACGTGCCGATGATTAATGTGGTTGATCCTTTGATGGCTAAACAATTTTGAGTGGTTGCCTTCTTGTGCGATATCAAAAAGAAATCACGCCTTCTAACTTCTCCATCTTTGTTTTTATCAAAGTGAGCCTTTTCGAACTGAAAACCTATGTTGCTTAGTATATCTCTCATAAAATTCCAAAATTATTTCCTCTGTCAGCGAGAGAGGCATGGCTAGTTGGGCAGAGCTTCTGTTCGTTAACAATGGATTCGGATCCTCTAACTTTAAGATATAAAAGTTATGGTAATTTAATACATTTAAATCGTTAGATTATAAAAATAAATTAGATTGTGACACATGTATAATATATATTTTGACTTAAATATACACGTGTCACAATTTAATTTATTATTACAAATTCAACGGTTTAAATGTATTAAATTATCATAACTTTCCTTCTATAAAATTAAGAGATCTATTTCCGTTAACAACGACATCGTGTAGAGGAGAGGGGGAAGAGGTGTGAGAAAGTGGGAGGAGGGTGGTGGAGGAGTCAGAATGTTATTTTATTTTATTTTTTGTTAAAATTTGTTTCAATCGGGAAAAGTAAATAAAAGAATACAATTAAAAGTAACATCAAATTAATTTTAAAAATTAGTTAATGTTATTTATTATTATTTACTCTCTCATATAATAAATATACTAAAGGAAAGATAATAAACTTTAATAATTGTTAAAATATGTTCCAAGACATATATTAAAAAATTGTTATAATATTAATATATAGTATTTATATATAAAAAAAGTAATGAATTTTTTCTTTAAAGATTTTAAGGTCATATAAAGTAATATTCTTCACACAATACAATCTATTATATATCTTAAGTCAAGATTTAAATATTAAACATCTTAAATGATATAAATTACTGAACTAATATTAATTTTTCATTAAAGTATTATATCAACTTCATTTATTATTATTGATTATAAATCATAGATTTTTAGTGTGTTTGGATGGAAAATTTAAATGGAGTAATTCATTTATTTAAAAATTTTCAAATTCTTTGAGGTAAAATACTTTGTTTAGATGGATAATTTATAAAGAATTTGAAATTCAAGTATTTGTGAAATTTTTTGAAATAGTAAAATTTCAAATTCTCCAAAATGAGTAAGAATTTGAAATTCCTCATATTTTTTCTTCTTCTTATTTCACTTATATATTTTATCTTATCTCTTCATATTTTTAATTATTGACTATTCAAAAATATATTTAAAATTATTAAATATTATCTAATATTAATCTTTAGAATTATTAAATATTTAAAAATTAGTTAATATTTATTTTTATAAAATTTAATTTAAAAATCTCAACATATAAATATATTTTTAAAATTAATTTTATCATGATAGAATCAAATTATCATATTTAACCTAACAATTTAAAATTTAAAAAATTTGAATTGACTTATCCAAATAAAATATTTTAAAAATAATAAAAATTAAAATTAAAATAATTGAAATATTAAAAATTTAAAATTTTTTAAATTTGTAAATTTTCTCGTCCACACGCAATTAAGTTTTTTTAATAATATAATTGAGCAACCAATTTTTAATTAGTGTGGCGCAAAGGCGAAAACGGAGAAGAGAGTGGTGCAAGGGAACACTGGAGCTTATGGTGCGGACCCTCTGCTCAATTCCCAATTCCCAATTCTCAGGCGTGCCTACGCTCGCTCCTCAGAAGCTGTGCGCACCACAGCAACCGTGATCGCCGCCACAGCGAACGTTGCTTCTTCGATGCCTTCCCCATCCCAAACACCACCGTCGCCGTCGCTTCCCTGCTTCCACTGTCACGCCCTTCCTCCTTCTCACAATCTCGTATCTACTCCCAAATCCCAATCTCAAATAACACATCTTTCTTTTAATAAGAACAAATTAAATATTTTAATTTATCTGTTTAATCTAATTTTGTTTCATTTTTATTGTAAAATAATACCGTAGGAAGACCTCCCTTGCCTCCAATCAATGACATGGACCATGGAGAATCGTCGCTCATCCCCTGCAGATAAAGTCGCTATAATCACCCTTAAGGTAATCACAAAACTTCAATTATGTATGATATGATTATGATTATGATTATGATTATGATTATGATTATGATTATGATTATGATTATGATTATGAGGATATTGTGAATCAAAAGCTGCTTTTAGAAGCATTTACAAAATTTTAGGATTTCAATGTGATGTCTATTTTTGACTGTAGCTGCATGATTATAGCAAATCTCCATCAGGTGAAACTGAGGTTAAGTTTCAGCTCACAAGAGACACACTTGAAGCTATGCTGAGATCCATGACATACATCAGGGAACAACTAAATGCTGTAAGAAATTCTTTTATTTTTCTCATGCATGATCACGATGGATGCTGAATTGGAGAATTAACAAACTTCATACTAACACAACTTTGAAAAAGGCAAAGATTTAGGAATGGTTTTTTCCATGCTCATTCTCATTCTCGAATGTGTTTGCAGGTTGGGACTTCTTCCGGGCCCGCAAGCAAGAAACAAAAGCAGTAGCTTGTTTTCCAGTAGCTCCCAAGTCATGATACTTCATATATTAAGATAAATATCTTGTACTTCTAAACAACGATAATAAAAAATAGAGCTAGTAAAAGAAATGATAACTCGGATGTATGTTGTAATGGCATTTGCCTTTTGAATATATATTCGATGTTATAACTGATTTTAGTCCCTATATTTCTTTGATGAATGCCATTAAGTAACCTTCGTTATTATAAACAGTCTCTCACACATAAAGATTTATATGTGCGGGTTTTGCAATGCTTTCTCTTTTAACTTTTTGTTTATTTTGTGACAATGCAATAAATTTTGAAAATGTTTTCATCTTGTCTTATTTTCCCCCCTTTCTACTTATTCTCGCTTTGAACTTGAAGAGTAAAGCGAACTGCAAAGAAATCAAGAGAAGGTATAAGAATTTTCACCTTTGCCAGGTATAGGAATATTTATTAATTTGGGTACCCAAACCATTATCCGCATACCATAAAAAAAGCAACTACAAAATCTGGGCGAAAAAATATTATAAATTTTAGACAACTGCAAGCTGCTCCAAATGATGGAAGGCAATCTGGAGAATTTTGAAATTGAATGAGTTCAATCTCTTAAAAAATGGTTACCCAAGAGTCCTGGCTTCCTTTTGGTAAACCTTTACTCTTATTTAAACGCCATTATGCAGAAAAACTAGGCAAGATTAAGAATATATAATGTCCCAAAAGAACTAGGAAACCAAAGCTTATAAATCTAAACTAGAAATGCCAAAACATCTGGGGTTATATACACTACCTTTTAGAGGCTGATACATTTGGGGTCCAAAATTATGACAACCAAGGCACCGTAAAGATACCTTATAAAGAGGCATCAATCCAACGTGCCAGCTATCCTTTTGAGGCTGACTAATATGATGCAGTGAATATCTGTAAATGAGCCAAATTAAATAGACAAGAGTGTTCTCAGGATTAATTTCCGTTAGTGTTAAAATAATATTTAATTAGTAAAAATTATGTTCTGTAAGTGCAAATTAGCCTTGATTGTCAATTTTAAGATATTACATAAATCATGTTCACAAACCAAAAAAAGGAAAAAGGCAGAATCCTTATCATTCACTAATGAGTTTCCAAATTAAAATGGCTAGAGTCATTGATCTGGTCAGCAGAGGCACAAAGCCAAAAGTGAACACTGTAACATTCCCCGGTGCTCAATGAACAAAAAAGATTATAATTATTGATGTAAAGGCGAAGAAAAAGAAAAGAAAAATAGCACAACTGCTTGCTGTATACGCATAAACAAAGTCCAATCACCATTTCTACAATCAATGTATAATGTACAATAATCCAATTTCTTTTCTTTTTTTTGGACTACACAATGTGCACTTGTTGGAAACAAAACTCTCACTCTATATATGCCAAATAGCTCACACTCGGGTAAAATTGAACAAAAAACTGCACGCTTCAAGAAATAAAACCAAAAACTCATTCTTGAAGAAACCAATCCAGCAAAATTTAAGAAACCTGGCCTGACTACCATTAGCCAAGACATGATTGGTGGCAAGGCTAGATTAGATACCCAAATTCCCATCACTGACGAAAAAAGTAAAAAACATAAATGAGAACCTTACAACTCTTTCTGCTTGCTCAAAGTGTCTCAGCATCAATCAGAATCGCTTGAGCTGGAGCTGGAGCTGGAACTGGAACTAGATTTCCTACTGTGAGATTTGGCCTCATTACTGGAGCCACTTTTGGGTACATTTTCCAATTTATCCACTGGAGTTCTGCTCATTTCCTCAGAACTGGTTGCTACATCAAATGATTCATTCACCTTTGCTGAGCCAACTTCGTTTTCTTCTACTTTGACTGAAGTGTCTTTTAAATCCATAGAATTTGGCAGCTCCCCTCTATTACCTTCAGAGACTTGCTTTAAAGCAATGTTGATATCTTCTAGAGATCTGGCTTCAACAACTTGAAGATCTGATTTAAGTTTCGGATGATCTTTTGATTCTTCACTAACATGCTGATCCTTAATTGTACTTGGAAGGATGACCTCTTTAACATCCACTCCTTCTTGAAGTTGCTTAAAAGCCAAGTCAATATCTTCAAGAGATCTTGCTTCAAGAACTGGAATGTCCTGCTCGACCTCTTCTGTTTTTACATCTTTAGGGAGTGAACTAAGTTGAGCATCTCTAGTTTTCTCGTGTTCATCATCAGTATGAAGTGATACACCAGCATCAATCACACTGAAGTCTCCGACAGTGTCCAATTCGGACAAGAATCCTTCATCAATTTCCTTCATATCATCAAATTCATCAACATTTTCTTCAGTAACCTGAGACATGGAGCCATCTTCTGAAGCAACTGCAGTTTTTAGTACTTCATTTTGGTCTTCGTCTTCAACTTCCCTGTGCCTATTAACTTCCAAATGCACTTCACCAGTGGGTGACCCGAGATCTGGAGACTCATAATTTTCAGAGGTAACAGAAGGAATGCTTGGGGGAACTTTGTCAGCTGCATCATGCAATTCTCCAACTTGATCATTGGAGGTGCCAGATCCATGTGCAGATTCAACCTGGATAGTATTGGAACTCTGCAGAATGTTAAAGAAATTATGATCAGTTTTCTCAGCGAAAGAGTCTTGGATCAATAACCACATATTTTACAAGGCAAAAACAGCAGCAGCAGAGCTGGTATGAGCATTAGATGAAAACAGGTCACAAGGACAGAACATATTATTCATGTATATCAATCATGTGCTTGTAGAAATAGTAAAAGAATAAATAATTCAAGCAATTACTACTAAGAAAGAAAAAGAAAAAAAAAATTCTACCCACTTGTGTAATGAAATTCTTACAAGGCATCCTATGTGTTTTACATCTATTTGCACAAGTAATTGTTCTGGAGATTACCAATAGAAGACCTTTTCTTTTGTTTGATGGAGCAGAGGCTAAAAACTTGTGTGTCATCATTAATAAATTAGGCAAGCACAACCTATCTAATATGTCAACCTATCTGAATTGGAGAAAATTTTCTCAGTTTCAAGGATTAGCAATCTCAGTAGAAGATGGGAATTGAGATTTCCATGATAATATATGAGAAAAAAAAAATCAGGAAAACTGGAAAAGCCACAAGTTAATATGCATTATTTGGTAGTGAAAATCTGAGGCATCCACAGAACTAACAAAATTTAAAGGAGAATATTTTGTTCTCCTTCTGCCTTCAGGGTATCAAAGAAAATGAAAAAATTGAATGGCAACTGCATTTTATATGTTTTCGAACTATTTACTTGTTTCTGAAGGCTATTAATAGTTCATTTTCTAAGTTTCAGCGTAAAAAAAATAATCTAATTCAATATCTTTATGGGGTAAAAAGGAAGGAAAACAAATTAAAAAACAAAAAAATTCTTGGCTTTACCAAGAAAGAATCACAACGAAATGACTTTTGTTTTTTCTGCAGAAGACATCCACATCGAATTAATCGAAATGTCGAAAACATAATGTCTTCTTTTTTTAGTATATTACCCATTTTGGTACTAAAAGAACCGCTTGTTTATATCCTACCATAGTTATGACAGGAAATGCAAAATATAGATTCTGAATATAGGTCAAGTATGTAAGATCTTTTTCTTTCTTCCCTCCTTTAATGGAGAATCTGCCGGGACATGGTCTAGAAAAATGTTTCTTTGGGATGGTACTAAAATGGATAAACTGATATAGAGTAGACCAATATGAATCTGTGCAACTGTTATTGGAAGCGCATCAGATACTGGCAGTGAGACGATCCCACGATTTTAATGGCAAGTACTGATAAATAGCATCCCAGATTCCATATGGATTTACATCAGGAATATTATCAATAGGATGTGTCAAATCAAACAATACCACTATTTCCTTTTAGGACATCATCATGTGATTTTCCCTAATAAACAAATGGACCCTAAAAGCAAAAGAATTTCAACCATAGATTATATAGATAAATGGAGGCATAAATTGTCATGTGACTTACCTGACTTTCATCATGATCACTAGAAGATTGTGCAACCACTGATTTATCGGAGCTTGAAAGATGATTCTCCAAGTTAGAGGGAGACTTCACATCAATTTCATGTTGACTGTCGGAAGTGAAGGCAACTGTATTCTTATCCAAATCTTGGTGGATATCACGTTTACTTTGCTCCACAGAACTTGACAAGACTTCATCCTGTTGAATCTGAAGCATGCCATCGTTATTATCTGATGAAATTTTCTCTATCTGTTCAGTTTCTTCAGAATGCAGATTTGGATGAACCACTGGTGCTTGCCCTGCTGCTAGTGAAAACTGTAAATCCTGTGCTGCAGGCATGGATGAACCATTAGAAGAAATGTGGTGGGCATCAGAAGCCACCGAATCCAGCATTTCAGCTGCATCTTGGACTGATGCAGACAAATTTGCGTTATCAAATCTTGATACTTCATTGCACAGAGCACCTTCCTCCACAGATTCATTGCACAGAGCACCTTCCTCCACAGATTCAGAATCCATTTGATAATTTGAATCTGAAGAATCTACATTTTCTTGATGAAGAATTTCAGAATCAGCACGAATGTTGTTGGCTAGATCCTGTCCATGAACTAAGCCTGAATCAGTCACATCCTTTACTGATCCAATATCTGAAGACAAATTTGATTCCACAGAAACAGGGACAACCTGAGGCTCAGCCATTGTAGATTCATTCTGATCAACAAAATTTGGGGCAACTGCAGATAACACATTTTCAGTAACATAATTTATATCAACAGATTTCTCAGAACTCAATTCATTTTTAGCTTCCACACATAGTTCGGAAGAGTCTGCTTGAGTTTGTTCATGACCAGAAGTATTACCTTCCAGTCTGTGATTAGACTGCTTATCTACAATATTAGTGGTTGTTTCTACCGAAGCAGGAGGCAATGCTCTCTCAGAAAACTCCATAGCAGAATCAAGAGAAGATATTGAAGGATTCGATTGGAGTGTTTCAGAAGCCTGTGGACTAGTATCATAAACAGGTTCTCTGTGGTTATTGTCTTCCACCTCACCACTTAAATGCTGGAAATTTGATTCCTCCACTGAAGCTTGTGTTGAAATTCTAGATTCAGAGTGATGATCATCTCCTTGCTGCAAATTTTCTGTTTTTTCCATTTTCTCATCCGGTATGCCGTCAATTACTTCAGATAGCGAAGAATGGCTTGATCTTCTGCTGCTGCCACTTTCCCCATCACTTGGTTCTCTTCTCAAATGTGTTTCCCCTGCATTAAATTGTCCATGGATTTCAACCTCTCCTGTTTCGGTATAGAATTCCATCTCAGAAGGATCTTCCACCCCACCCAGCACTATTTCAACTTCATCATGACGAACATTGCTCTCCTCAACTTGTATCATCTCCACAGAATCATTTTCTTCAGAGGATTGGCTTCCATGTTCAACAGCAATAGAAGCATGATCAACGTTAGACATTAATTCAGTTTCTTGAGACAAGTCTTGCTCACTGAATTTCCTGTCATCCTGATCAATTGAACTTACAGATTCAGTATCTGGAACAGAACTCAACTTTGAATCACTTGCTTCACTTGATTGCCTCTGGAATGAATAGCTTGTTCCCTCTGAAGCCATCCTTTCAGATATAAAGACAGGTTTCCAATCATACCTTTCTTGCTTGGATAACCCCAACACTGATGGTCCCAAGCTGAAACTTTCGTGCCGCCGAAAGATGGCATCTTTTTGATGAAATCCTGTGAACTCTTGTTGAAAACTGTCCCCCTTAAGATCAGGTTTTTCTTCATTCGAGTCATATGGAATATCAAAAGGGTTTCGTCTAGGCTGTAGAATAGAAGGAGCAGATCCAGGAATGGGTGGTAATCCCATAGCAACATAGGAGTCATCTAGGAAATCAAATGGGTTCCGTCTGGTAGTAGCAATAGGTGCAACATTACAGGGAATATCAGCACAATCTAAGTCTATTAGATTCTTCTCATGCATCAACCTCCTTGCTCTTCTCCTAGCAATAAGATTCTCCAACCGCTTATTCCTTTCCAGCTCTAAATTTCCCAGATCCATGAGATTCTTTTGGTCATCCTCTGTCCACTTAATAGCAGATTTACTTTCATCATCTTTGCCACCTGCCACTTCTTCTTCCTCTTCATCATCATGTTCGTCAATACCATCGTCATCTCCAGCATCACAGTTGTTTTCTGTATCATCGTCTGATTCGACACTGTCATCGTCACTTTTCTGAGACCTCTCAGATGCAGCATCAGAATCATCACGGGACACCTGAGCCGGCTGTGGGGCATCTAGGTCTAGTAGTGGGTGGAGTTCATCAAGCATTGGAATGATGTCAGCCATGGAAGCATCTGGTGAAGAGCTCTCAGCCCCATCAGAACCTGACTCCACTGAATCATCCTCATCATCGTTTTCCACCTGTTTCCAAGATGAGCTGGCAGAAAAGTCTGCATGATCTCCATGAGTTTTCTCATTTTCAATTTCAACAATATCATCTTCCACTTTTTGAACCATGACATATTGTTTCTCAATAGCTTCATCATCACTTGAAACAGCTCCAGACGTCTGGTTCTCCTCATGAACTTCCCTGTTCTTTCCCAACTCAAAACTATGCAATTCCCTTTCCCTTTCCACTTCCCTTATTTCTTGCTTCTCAGGCTGAATATCCGGTGTGTTTTCATCATCCGGAGGCAAGTCACGAAGCAAGCCACGATCATCTTCGGCCTTATTATCCTTCTCACTAGCCAAACTTGCTTCCTCAATGCCCCTCTCTTCTACATCACTCCTATTTTCTGAATAACCCTTCACAAAATAGCTCTCATCTCTGTCAGCAAAAATAGTGTCACCCTCCGAAAACCCGGCTTGGAAGGATGAAATGTCATGAGTAACTTTCTCTTCTCTCTCAACTTCAGGCACATTTGGCTGCCCAAAACTGAGAAGGGTTCCAAGCAGAATAGCAGTGCAGACCAAGACAGGGGAAGCGGAGACCAAAACAGAAAACAGAAAAGGAAACGATCTGTACAACAGAAGCAAGAAACCAAAAAACCCCACAAGGAATGGATGGTTGCAAACTGATCTGTAACCACCTCTAATTGAAATGACAACAACTTTCCTTATTTTGATTCCAATTTCTGATCCCATCTTCCTCTTCCTCTCTCTCTCTCTCTTTCTCTCTCTCTCTCTCCTTGGATAACCCTCCCTCTAATTAAATCCTGGTTTGATTGATCAAGCATAAACAAACAAAAGGGTACCCAAATAAGATCCAATGATCCACCAACACCAGTTCCCACAAAAAGAAGAAGAAAAAAAATTGGAAATTTATCACAATTCCAGCTTAAACGTACCTCAACATGAATCAAAATAAACCCCACAGATCAATCCAGTCCCTGAAAAACCAATAAATTCAGGAGAGAAAAAATGATGGGGTGATCATAGTATAACCAAATAGAGGAAAAAAGGGTATGGAAAAAAAAACATTTTTTTTTGGAGATAATGACTCACCAGATATGATTGTGGAAACAAAAGAAAAAGAAAAACAAAGGGTAATTGGGAATCCTGTGCTTTACAATGTTTCTTCTTTTGTTTACTTTATGGGGCAACACATTGGCAACAGGAGCTACGAGGAGCTAAACGTGTCCGTTATGGTATTGGCTATGTGTATTTGATGGTTTGACAAAGAGAGTGTTGGGCGGCACGAAAAGAAGAGAAAGAGAAAGATTGAAGGAGAAGAAGAAGAAGAGAGAAGAAAAGAAGAAAAAAAAAAAAGAAAAAAAAAAAGGATAGAAAGCTATCATTACACTATTACAACCATTATAATTTTATTTTTCTTCTTATGTTGCTTTGTGCAAAGAAACCTTTTACTCTGTCATCCTTTCTTGCTATTTGAGATGTGTACAAAAAAATATGTGGGACAGCCCTTGGTAATTTGGGTGTAGGGTAATTTCCTTCCCATATTCGATTTAATGCATGACTAGGATGTTCTTCATCTATGTCTCTATATTCTTTTGAGGTAAGGAGAAATATGGAGTTCACATTTTTTGTTTTACTCATTTGAGAGTGAAAATACAATTTGATGGCTAATAATGCAGGGATATTACAAGAAATCAATAAAAAATAATAATAATAAACTCCAATAATTGATCATAAAATTGCATCTACCAATTTTGTTTACGAATTCTTTTAGAATCACGTAGATGCCATAAATATTACATATATCTTTCTACTTTATGTATACCCTAAAAAATCATGCGAGTGTAATTAGGTACAAATTTTGTTTTACTTTTACATAATTAGATCGCGAAAAAAATATAATATACACATATTAGAAAATAATTTTTTCGCAATTATCTAATCACAAATAACTATTTATGTTAAAATTGTTGACTTTTATAATAATTATTTAAAAAAAATTATACTAATAATAATTTTTAATTTGAAGTAAAACTTTTACATTAAAAGCATATAACCGTTAAACACTAGATTGAGCTATAGTTAAAAACTCAAGTCTAATCTAAATTAAGTTAGTTTTTACTTTTTAGGACCTGGATGTCAAGAGAAGATGAAAATTTTGTACCAAGTAAAAAAAAAAAAAAATTGATGGTATATTTAAGTAACATGTTGTATGGTATTTCCCCGACCCATATTTTGTAACACTGACATGCTTAAATACTATAATCACCTTCTCTTTGTGTATTTTACAGATAAAATTATAAAAATATAAAGAATTAAAGATGAATGTTGGTCATGATCATTGCATCCTCGATGATATCAGTTTATTATTGTTTATTCCAGAAAACATGCTATTCTGTCAGTGTGTTGCTTATTCATATCAGTGGTTATTGTCAAACGCACATTTAATAAATCTTTTAAATTCGATTCCTGATTTTGGCCGGCAAGTGAAGTCTTTATGTTAATTTATTGTAGTTTACAAATAAAAATGATGTTGGAAAAAGATTAAGGAGAATGAGAATGATTCAACACAGAAAATATTGGAGTTGCAATCGGATATAAATGTATTGAATTAATGAGTAATTAGGTATTTACTAAGGTTTTTTTTAATATATAGTGATAATATAAATGAAATTCTTGATATTTAAAAACTTTTTCCCTCAAGTTTATTTTTCCACTTTAAGTTTTAAATTAAAGTTAGGGATTTATTCAAATATAAATTTAGAAAAGTTTTTCAAAATTTTTCTATTGAAAAAATTTCTTTAATTAATAAATAAATAAGAACTTAAAAAAAAAAAAAACAAGTGAGAGTTGTTTGTTAATTTTTATTTATTTTTAACTTAAAAAACTCCTTTTAAATTAAAAGTTTTTTTTTGTATTAAATTAAAATTTGTTTGATACAATTTATATATTAAATTTACATCTATAAAAAAAATTGATGATTCATATCACTCCATGCCATTTAAAAAAAATCTCATTTCAACTATTTTCTTTTAAAAATGACCTTCTGATATTTAACTAATACTATTTATTATTCTTTTAATATTTTAATCAGTAAACTTTAGCTCAAAATTTTAATTAATAAAAAGTTACAAGAAGTTACCATCAACTCTTTTGTCTTAATTTCACAAGAAAATAAACTACGCATCGATAATATAAAATAGTTCATTACCTAATCACAAGTAATTAAGTTTTAATTTTATTTACTTATCATCTAAAAGGTACTAAAATAGAAAGTGGTAAATGACAAAACCAGATAGTTATTAAAATGAATCACATTAATAAAATGTTTAGAGTAAATTGCAAGTTTCACATGAAATAGAATTGAGAAAGGCATTTTAGAATTTACCAAAAATAAATAAATAAAATTGATCCACACTCGGTGTATTATATATTAACACGTATTATAGAACATCAATGTCCTTATTTTCTTTAGAGAATATAAGTATAAGATCAAGATGTTACAAAAGCTAACCTACCAGTCTTAATAACACATGACCTTACAGAACTAAAGAAATCACTTTTTGTCTGTAAATTATGCTTAGCCAGTTAGTAAAGGATCAATCGATTAGCAACCTTTTTCCTTTCTTTCTATCTCTAGAAAATTTTTAGGCAATTTGTATTATAATCTCATCGTACTAATTGGTATGATTAATTCTTAAGTTGGATGTTTCCCTGAAAGAATCATGTGCTTTCCTTTCTGTAAAGGCACAACCACTTGCATACTCTAAAATGCTTATTTGATGATGTAATTTCTCCAGCACCTTGACACCTCATCATGACTAACAAATATATCAAAGAGGAAAATGATTTGCATCCACTAATTTTTTATGTTTAAAGGAAGAAAAAAAAAAGGCATTTTTGTGATAGTATTTCAGGCAGTGAATACAGTTAGGACTTAGGTCTTAGGTGGTGTTTCTCATCATAGATTATGACATTGAACAAACTAGTAAGAATCACTCTTTACCACATTCTTTTTAATACATTTTTAGTATTTGTTAATATTTATAGTAAATTATAAAATTATGAATATCGTTAAATAAAAAATGAAACCCATAAAAAGTGTGCTAGATGGTAAATTATTATCTAGTCAAAATCATCAAATGTCCATAATTTTGATCAATTTCTAAATGATACATATTTAAATTCATCGATTTAAAAAAATTAATAACACTTTATTACATGTTATATAAAGTTAATTAAAAATTATGTAGTACAATATCACCTAATAATTTATTGTGTGTCGGTAACTTTTCTCTACAAATAACAACCACAAACATTGAAATACACCCTATTATAACCTCACTCAAGCACAGATAAAGATAGAGGAACTGAGGGAGGGAGGGAAAAAGTAACATGAAAGAAATCTGAACTTTCTATTTCCTGAATGCTGGTTGAAATTCTCAAGCCATATGAGCCAACTCAAAGCCCTCAATTTTCAGTGAAAAGGTGCATGGACCCACGTGTTGATGTCTGCTGCTATGGACAGTGGACCCATATGGTTAATGGTTCAGATGCTACTCTCAAACCATTAGTACATAATACTGGTGTTAAAATTTCAGTGCTTGTGTAAAGTTTGAATGAGTAATATAATTAGAATTTAATAGTGATGCCCTGAGAGTGTAAAATAGTTTTATACTATCAATTAATCAGATATCACCATTAGTATGACTTTTTATTTATTTATTATAAAAGTCATCAACTTACTGTAAATGATGATCTGTAATTAGATGGCAGTGTAAAACTCAGTGCATCACCTATTTTCCCGTATAATTAACCCTGCCAGTGCCTAGTTTTCTTGTGATTCACCTCTTCATGTCTTTTTTGGTTCATGAACATGAACCTCATTGGGTTCATATTGAGAACAAGGAATCTTTGGAGAAACTGCTTCATCACTAGATGCTTCATCCTCAGAATCATTGGTTCCTGACAGCACTGATTCATGAATTTCAGAGTTCATAAAACCGGGTGATGAACAACAAGAATCAAAAACATCAGACATGCTTCTGTCATCTGCTTTCATTTTCTGAGCATAAGCTTCATAGTTGAATCCAACCGTGTTTTTCCCACCAAAATAGGTTTCCAGCTTGTCCATGTCAAGGTGTTCTTGAATCACCATGCGGCTTCTTGGGTTGTCAGGGTAAACAAATATCACTTTCCTGTAAGTCTTGGGTTCCAAAAATGGCTTCACCATCTGCTACCATGAAAAGCATGCTTGTAAAACACAAAAAAGAAAATACAGCAACACTGATATTAAGAATCTTCATGAACAAATTTCAACAGAAAAGGAGAGGAACAAACAAATTTCTGGCTTGTTTTTCTACTTATAGAGCACAGGACTCATTTGACCTATCACAGCTCACTTGAAACTAGTATTATTACCTCACTCTAGTTGGAGTAACATTCTCTCAGATTTAGAACCTGTTTGAATACAATTTAGTAGTAGTTTTGCAAGCTGAAAAAGTTATTTATTATCAGTAGAGAAATTCTAGAAAATTCTTTTTAACTTGTATCCAAATAGACTTATAATGATTCAGCATGGTGAACAAAAAAGTATACCAAAAGTGTATCCAAACTGGGAGGTACATCATATGACTAAGCACTTAGCAGATGTATATGGACATATACAAATTCCCATCAAGTGCACATGTTTGTCTTCTCATCATGAAATAAGTTCATGTACAGCACCAGTCTCAAATATAAACAAAACAAAAAACTAATTCATGCTAATTAAGAAAGTTAATTAATATCATTTAATTTTATTAATCTCATTTAAAAATAAACTTTTTTTTGTTATACTACCTCTTTTGATTTTGATATCAAGAATAAATAAAAAAAGGTATCATTCAAAATACAATCTCAACCCAGGGATACATCAAGATAGTTTCATTAAATTGAGTGGTATTAATTAAGATTTACTTGTGTTTTAGATCACCAGTGTTTTTTTTTTATTTGCTTATATGCGAGACCAGAGTAGAGTTTTTAATTTTCACAGCAGAAACAACAAAAGATTCACAAGTTAGCCACGCAATTGTGACAAAAAAATTCCCTATCCATTTCATAATCAATATCAAACAACATCTAGAAGCAAATATCATAATATATAGAGCCTATTTATTTACAAGCTAGAGGTATTTTTAAAAGCTTTTCTACTAAAAATAAAGAGTATTTTCTAATAAAGAAGCTTTCAAAAACGCTTCTAAGTTTGTATCTAACTAGGCTCTATGTAAGTCTCATCTCACAAAATCCTCCTTCTCAGAAAACAAAAAAAAAGGGACACAGTGATGAAGACAGGAGATATTATGATGTCTTACCGTCCAAAATGACTCAAACACTTTTGGTGGATTGTAAAAGATTGCAAGGCCCAACCTCTCAGGGTAGTGAGCCTGCAGGACTTGAGCAGCTTCCCGGGTGACCTTTAAAGATAAGCATGATGAACTCCACCCTTGAAAATCAATAAGCCAAACCATCTGTTCATGATTGGAACTTAGATTCCATATGGCATTCTCCAAACAGTAAATGAGGTACTTGATCTGCATAGCTGATGAGTTTGTGCTCTAAATTGGATAAATTAAGTCTTAGTCAATGCATCGAAACTTTTCAATAATATTAGCAATGGCATCCAAACAACATGAAGGCTCAACTTCTATAGTACAACCATAACATAAATGAGGATTGAATATGTTTTTAGTCATTGAAAGTTTTTTATTTTTTACTTTTAGTCTTTGAACAAATTTGATTTGATTTGATTTTAGTCCTTAAAATTTTTCTCCATGAACAAAAAATGTTAACAAGAAAAAAAGTTCAGAAGTTAAAAGTGAAAAATCTGCAAAAATTCAAGAACCAAAACTAGTAAAATATTTGTTCAAGGACATGAAAATTGACAGAAGTTCATAGACTAAAAACATTTAATCCCAAAAATGAAATTTGTGCTTACTATCATCAATTTATTTAGACTACCTGAATACCAGGTCTAATAACAAAAACAATCCTTCCTTGCTTGTCCAAGTAATCAGCTTTATATAGCCTTCCTTTCACAGCTTCATGAGCTACATCATTCTAATTGCATAAAAAGTAGGGAAAAAAAGACAAATGTCTCAGTTGCACTTATCTATTTAAGAGCATACAACTCATCACTATTTAAAACCTTCCATTCATGCCCTGAAGCTATACAAAATAAAATCTAAGATAGAGAGTTACAGTGATAAAGCCACTGAAATTACTAGTTTGCATTGACAATTAGTACTACAAAATGATAGATATGTAAGTTTAACCAATTTTCATGTTTCATTCTATTCCAAACTGAATTCAATATATTCTATTTTACTTTTTTGAAAGAAAAAAAATTAAGCTTGAATATATTTTTAGTTCATCTAAAATGAACCAATTTTGATTCAAATTCAATCCTTATGAGTTTATTTTTTTCATTCTTCAAAAAAACTGAAATTCTTATTTTTGGTCCCTATTATCATGTGACACTTGTTAACTGATTACATATTTAACAAAAAGTCAAATAATCATCTTAGGTGACCATGTCAACATGCAATTCTGATAATTTTTAAAATAGATGTTATTGAGCTATCTTAAAATGAATGGTAGCAACCAAAAACAATGATTTCATATTTTGATAGGATGAGAATCAAAAAAAAAAATATTATAAGAATCAAACTTAAAACTCACTTATTTTATAAAGAATAAAAATATATTTAACCCTAAAAAAAATAGCATTAGATGCACACCCATTGAATCTTATCAGGCCTGAACTCCAGCCTCCATTTTATGGTGTTTTTCAACATCTTTGCAGCCTTCTTAGTGTTGTAGTTTCTGGCTCTAAGGTATCTTAGAACTGATGCATCCGAACACAAAGCAGAGAACTTGTCAACAATTGGACCAATTATCTTTTTGACTTCTCCAATCTAAGAAAAAGAAAAAAGAAAGAAAATCAAATACTTTTTCATTCAAAATTGACCCATAAAATGACCCTCAAACAATCCCTTAATTGTAGACTAGTTTCCCTGCTCAACCAAATTCAAATAGAAACTAGGAAGAGAATCATTTATCCTTACTTGGCAGTTGGCACCACTGACTTTAGGTAGGTTGTGGATTTTAAGAAAAATTAATTGATTTTCTAACAAATTATATAAATACATGCAAACTTTTGGATGGAAGATAGAATATAATAGAGACTTACTGATGTACAATAAAAATACGCCAAATTTGTCATTACACTTTCATAAACTAGGGCCAGATAGATTAATGTCACGTACCTTAACCTGCTCCTCTTGTGGAGATAAAGTTTTTTCAGCTGCAACTGATTTTGATTTCTTAAACGACATCTTTTTTTCAAATCAAATCAACCTAAAATATCCTGAAATATGGAAAAACCAACATGAATTGAAGTACTTCAACAAAAGTCCCACTGTACTCCAGTTAATTGCAGTTAAATAGACAGCTTCAACTGATGAAAAGGCACATTGGTGCTAAATTTGGAACTGAAAATTCCCAAAATAGCAATATTGCATTTTCATTTGTACATCATCATATTGATTAAGTATTTTAATTCACTTATGTTGATTATGTCCCACTTATTCAATGACTGTCTCCTTATCACTGTGTAGAGAAAAATTGGTAATAATTAATGGTAGCAATAAAGCCCTATAATCCCTCTGCCGCCACACATTTGTAAAAAGAAGGAAAGAATATACAAGAACAACAAATTTAACCTTCTGAACCTAATGATGAAAGAAAAATACCGCTGCTATGATTTTGTTACAACTATCTTTTGGCACAAGAACTCTAAGCTTCCAGGATGTTTTTTTTGTCTTGGGTGATGCCTAAAATTGATCTGAAAAATATTACATAAGGGTCATAACAGAGGACATATGTGATTATAGGATACCAAAATACATGTTTATCATTGATTGGTGATTAATATTGCTATCCAGGGACAATTATAGGTCTAATTTGGATCTTGGATAATGAAAAATAAAGTAAGAACAGAAAAGTAGAAAATGTACGCGGTATGCCTATGCATTTAGGCTACAAAGCTTCCTCAACATATAACCAGGAATAAGTGGTACCATTATTGTTTCAAACACTAGTTCACAATCTAGCGCATCCAATTAACCTTCAAGTCTTGCATGGATGTCATTGCTTATACATTCATATTCACCACAAAGCATCCTTTTCTCTAAAAAGACATAAATCACTTGATCACACATACCCTATCCAGAAAGCATAAACTCAGAAACCCCCCACCCCCGCCAAATCTCCTACCACAACTATCTCATACTCAATGAACTTGGGGAGATCATTTAATAAATACTTAAATATAAATTACTGAGATCTATTTCTGATCATTAAATAACACTAAACAAAATTTAAAGATGGAAGTAAAACTCCATTTCTAATCATTGAATAGCACTAAAAAACATACAAGGAAAAAACTGTAAAATACTTATAGATTCAAGCACACCAACACAAAGGAGAGAATATTATGGCGATAAATTCCTACAAGAATCACAACACAAAGGGACAAAATAAACACAGTTCAATTCCTCTTGTAATAGACCTTGCTTCACGTGTAGTATGCCTCAGCAGCACTCTAGCGTGATATTGATATTGTTACATTAAAAAACGTAATTCATAAGTATTTTATTGCCTTGGTCGACCATGATTCAGCTCAACAAGTTTCATATCCAACTCACGAAATCATTAAATAAACAAGGATAACTAGTTCAAGTTGTTATAGACAAATAATGACGTACACATTAATAATGCCCCATAAGAAATGTTACACCAACATGAAAACAATCAAAGCAATGGCATCATATTCATGGGCTCTTCACGTTGCACAATGAACAGTATATGCAATGATGAGTGATGAGGGCAAAAAGGGAGAGACAAATATTTTTTTTAATGAAAAGCAAGCTTCGAGAATATAAGAGAAGAAAGAGGATCATGAAGAAAGAAGAAGAGGATGTGAGGAAGGACACGTGGCGAACACAGAGAAGTGTAAGAACTAAGAACGTAACCAGCGGAAAATAGGTCCTTAAGATGCGGAAAAGACAAGAAATAAGAAAAGCTTACTCGATGTTAGGGAGCAACAACATCGGTGATGGATCAAACAAGATGAAAAGGAATGGAATTTAAGAAATTTGATTAAGGATGTTTGGCAACCAATTCAAACCGTCAGTCAAATTAATTAAAAAAAAATTGATGGAGTATCTCTAATCTCTATTCAATTTAATGAAATTTTATTTGTTTATTGATGAAAAAAATAAAATGATGTCATTTTAAAAATTAAAAACAAGCAAAAACCAAAATAAGCTACTCAAATCAAATGGCATTTTCACCACAAAAAATAAATTCACCAAAAAAATCAAATGGCATGGATAAAATTGGTGCGGTTTAAATTTGATATTATTCTCAAGTTGATTTAAATTGAATTGCACTTTTTTAATAATAAGTGAAATAGTTTTTTTTGGATAATAAATAGAAGTGTGGTGCTCCTGATTTCTTAGTAAAGTGTTGTAAGAGTTCAACACACCTCCGAACAAGAATTGAATATCTCAAACATAAAATTTATAAGACTAGACATTTATAGATGATTCGATAGTGAATGAGTTGATAAGCTCGATAATACTTGTTAGAATAAACTCTAATATAATCTAATATCATCTTAGGAAGTAGATAAGAGCCTAATTCAACTCTATAAAATCAATTTGTAAAGGTGAGGGTATTACAAATTTATATACTCTTTAATTGTTTTTATTTCTAATTGATGTGAAACTTGAGCTTTTTTAATATACTTTCGTCAAATATTATTGGGTTTGGTGTATGAATAAATGGTGGGTGACCATTTTTAATGGTCTAGGATAGATGAAAACTAGGCTCTTCCCAATACATCCAACACTATGTACTTGGTGCATGTATTAATGATAGGTGACACTTTTAGAGTGAATTAAGATAACTCTTATATCATCTTAAAATGAGTTATGGGCTTAATTCAATCTTACAAAATCAACTTATAAAGTTGAAATTATTTCCTACTTATATATACTATTATAATCTTATTCCTAAACAATGTGGGATATCCAACACACCTCCTCATGTCATGCTGAGGATTGAATATCTCAAGTATAAAGTTTGTAGGATTAGACATTAGCAAATGATTCAATAAGGTCTAATAGCAGATGGCTTGATAAACTTACTAACAATCAATAATTGATAAGATATAGACTCTAATATGTTTTGATACCATCTTAAGAAAGTAAGTTAAAAATCTAATTTAACTTTACAAAATCAACTTGTAAGGTGAAGGACATTTTCTACTCATAAACACTATTATAATTTTATTTTTAGATGATGTGAGATATCTAATGTAATTTAATTCTCGTTTGTGTTAAAATAATGTTTAGCAAGTAAAAGTCATGCTCCACAAACACAAATTAGTCCTTAATTCTTAACTTTGGGACACTACATATAAAATGAAAGAAAAAAAAAAGATTGTGTATAAAATGATACATACCCTAAATAAAGAATGAAACATGGTATTTTGTCTTTTTATAAAATAAAAACCCCTTTCTTTTCATTTGTGTCAAGTTATTCCAAAACATGAAAAAATTGAATACAGTATTTTTTATCTCTAGTTAATTGTTTCTTTCTTTGTTTACAGAATCAAATGAATCCTAAGCATCTATTTGTTTACCGTTTGTTCCTTCTAACTCGAGTTAAGTAGCACGTGCTTCTCAAGATCAGTCCTCGATATTTTCTTTGGATGGCTCCTAGCCAAAAAAGCAAGGAAGATGGTACTCGCACAGAAAAAATGTTTATCCTCCAAGACGAATTTCTCAAGTCCACATTGACATCGCATGATGCACCAATGATTTTTAAATAACATTAGTGATTTTTATTCAAAACCATGCATGTACAATAAAAAATATGGAAAGCAAGTCTTAAAACTAAAAAAGGTTAAACTATTCATTTAATTTTATAGTTGACCTTAATTTTAAGTTATAAATCCCTGTCGAGAAAAAAACGTAAGTTTTAGTTCTTATACATACATTAAAGTTAAGTCTTAGTCCTCACTACTAACACTAGAGAAAACTTTTTGACGGTATAAAACTGCGAAAAAATAACTTTCACTGAGACTTGAGACAACTTTAACTAAAGGAGTTTAACACTAGCACTGAATAAGATGGATGTACAGGCAGCACATCTGCTACAAGTGGGAACTTGGCCATTGACCGACATGGTTGTACGATGATGTTCTCAGTCTATCCCACCACAATTACTCATGAAAAATGGGGATTAAAAAAAAAAAAAAAGCTTCAAACCCCTCTCTCGCTTGAAGCTCAAGGCTTGAAGCACATATATGGGAAGTGAGACTGAGGCATGTCAGCTTCAAAAGTGAAAAAGAAACTCATTAAACACTAGAAAAACAATGCATTTACAGAATAAGATGATACGCCATAACCAAGCAACTGCGCAAACACTATGCATTCTAGAAAGACCTTTTTATCTTTACAACGAATGATGTTATCAATACAGCTTGATTACTTCGACAAGAAACTCATCACAGAAAAAAGAAAAGGAAAGAAAGCTGTTAAAGTCATGTTTTGGCTCCTCAAGGAAGGAATGACTATTCTTCATATACCCAAAGATGCCACCAATCAAGTCTCAATGTTATAGAAGATAGAGCAGTCCAACCTATACCAACAAAAGCAATCATGATATGCTCGTTTCATGAATTCATGGAATGCACTAACCATTCCCCAAACCAATCGTTCAAAGAATACAAATTCATGAGCATCAGAGACTAAACCATTTGACTTCCATGTTTTATTTACCACCCAAAAGTCCAAGCATTGCAATGAGAAACAATGTTAAGATGAAGAGTTTTCATTTCTGAAATTGGAACCAGTTTGAAAGCCTAGCCCGTTGCATCAATTTCCTTTCCATGATCATCTTCATGAATATTTCGCCTCAACCTTCTCAGCCATATTTCATAGTCCAATGGATATGGTGTCCCACAGAGACTATCAACATAATCAGCAAAAGCTTTCAGCACAGTAGAGATATCACCAAGCTTCTGCTGAATTAATCTCCTTGACCAAGATGTCTCTCTCCACTGTAGCGCTCCCTCTACTGAATCTAAATCAGGAAAAACTCCACCACATGAATAATAAAGCATATAAACTAGGCTTTCTGCATCTGAAGCGGAGCATAGCTTTCCTTCCTGAAGTGCATAAGTAGACGAGAAATGAAGATTCATAGCAGGGCGATCCCTATCTTCAAGAATGGCATGGCCCCACCCAATTAGAACAAAATATGGGTGCGTCGTGCCAGACTTTACACAAATTACATTCTCTGGCCTAATGTCTCCATGCCGAATTCCAGCAGAAGCAACAGTTGAAAGCGCTGATAAGCAATCATGGCAACATCTGATAGCTTCATCTGAACCAAATTGGCCTGTGCGTACCATTTCAGCTACTGTTTCACCAACTGGACTAGTCACAAGGATAGGGGTCCCACACAAAGGGTGGTCACAATTTCCACCTGAGCTCGGCCGGTGACAATGACCAGGGTGTATGATCCTACCAGAGGCACTCAATTGAGGCAGATATTTGCTTGATAGACCTTTCTGCTTCATTATTGTCAATACTTTGGTCTGCCTCTGAACCTGATACCATAAATTCATATCTTCCCATGCTGGTTCCAGCTGGGAGGGATGAGAGCCTACATATAGGAACAGATTTTTTCCTGGGTCTTCAACATTGGATGCAATGTAGTATGTCAATTCACCGGTGTCGATTACCTCTTTTATCTGATAACCCTTTTTCCAATCTGAATCCTCCAGCCATAATATGGTTCCTTCTGATATCATTGACTCTTTGGAATCAACTTTGACAGAATCATCCTGAACTTCAACAATTTCAGGGGAAACACTATGTTGCTGGTATCGAAATAGGCCATTTCCATTTACACCGGTATCTCCTAACTGCCTCTCAACCCTTCTTGTTTGGAGGCGTGAACTATGATCAGCAGCTAAATCCTCAACAGAGTGCTTGGGCATTCCAGCATATTGCATAATACAGTGGAAGGTTGCAAATAGTACCTGTAGAGCACCAATATCTCCCCAGTTTGCATTTCCAAGTTTGTTCCAGATCCTATCAATTGGAGAAACAGAAATTCTAGAATGATTTTTTACCCATTCAGCAGCACATTCATAAACATTATTCACATCAAAATTGAGCTTATTTACATCTCCTTCAACCTTTACAACACCACCATATTGAGAATCAACTAGAAGAACAAACACTGTGCTTGAATCAGGAAAGAAACTCAGTCTACTTAAACTCCTTGCCAATAGCATTCGAAGAGCATAAAATAGAGCTTCTCCTAGAACTGATGGAGAAGGCCGGCGGTCAGTGCCAACAGTATGGCCTCCGATATCAGGCCTTAGAAGTGCCAATTCAAGGACATGATCCCATGTTCCATGAGGATGTCTAGAGTTATTAAGCAATATACCAGTGCCACAAAGCCCTCCAAGCCTTCCATTTGAAATAGCCTTTTCAGCCTGATAAAATTTCAAGTTGGCATTATACAGACAAGCCACAGAAAAAGGCATGGGCTCATCTTGACTCCAAAATGCCTCCCACAGGCCCTTTATACTTGCATGTAGAAAATCTTCAATAGCAAGATAAGCTGTTGCTTCTACAGCATCAGACATAGTCGCATGAACAGCATTAGGCATCCGCGTAAGCTGCTGAAATGAAATCCCTTCCAATGCATAATCGAATTTTTGAAGTTCAATCAACTCAAATGGAACATCAAATGCCTGCTGTTCATGTTTTTCTATTACAGATTCAAACCAGTCTACAAGATTTGCAGCCAATCTATCACTTTCAACAAATTTATAGAAGAACTCCTTCTGATTCCGAGGCCTACTTCCAGATGATACACTGGACCTCTTTGTCCCAGACCCTACTGATTCCTGGTCTGGGGATCTACCTGTAAATAAGT